AACCTCCCACCCCCACCCCAGGCCCTGGTAACCACCATTCTACTTTTTTCCTTTCTTTTCTTGAAATTTATTTAATTTATTTATTTGACTGTGTCACGTCACAATTGCAGCATGAGGGATCTTTAATTGCAGCATGTGAACTTTTAGTTGTGGTATCTAGTTCCCTGACCAGGAATCAAACCTGGGCTCTCTGCATTGGGAGCACAGAGTCTTAACCACTGGACCACCAAGGAAGTCCCCACCATTCTACTTTCTTCACTGAGTTTACCGTAGATACTGCATACAAATGGAATCACACAGTATTTGTCCTTCTGTGAGTGGTTTATTTCACTTTCTTTATTTATGCTTACTTACATTTCGGTTGAAATGATTTTTTTGTGCATGATGTAAAATAAGAATCCATTTCTTGAATGTGGATATCCAGTTTTCCCAACACCATTTGTTGAAGGGACTGTCCTTTCCCCTTTGTGTATTCTTGGCATCCTGTCAAAAATCAGTTGATCATATGTGCGTGGGTTTATTTCTGGGCTCTGCATTTCTGTTCTCTTGGTCTATATGTCTGTCTTTATGCTAATACCATACTATTTTATTACTGTAGCTTTGTAATATGTTTTGTAATCAGGATGTCTGAGTCCTCAGCTTTGTTTGTCTTTCTCAGGATTGTTTTAGCTATTGGGGTCTTTTGTGGTTCCAAAGAATTTTAGAATTGTTTTTTCTTTTTCTATTAATATATGCCCTTGGGATTTTGGTCAGGGTTGCATTAAATATATAGATCACTTTTGGGTAGCATGGACATTCTACAATATTAAGTTCTTCCAATCCATGAACACAGGATGTATTTCCATTTATCTGTATCTCCTTTGTTTTCATTCAGTAATGTTTTGTAGTTTTCAGTGTACAGATCTTTAATCTCTTTAGTAAGATTCATTTTAGGTATTTTGTTGTTTGATCATTTGCAAAAGTAAATGAGATTGCTTTTCTTAATTTCTTTCTCAGGTTGTTTGTTGTTAATGTACAGAAACAAAAGTGATTTTTGTATGTTGATTGTGTATCCTATAACTTTCTAGAATTCATTTATTAGATCTAACAGTTTATTAGTGTGTTGTATGTGTGGAATCTTTAAAGGTTTCTATTGATTCATATAAGTGCATGTCATCTGCCAACAGAGGTAATGTTATTTTTTTCCTTTTCAGTTTGGATGCCTGTTTACTTCTTTTTCTTGCCTAATTGTTCTGGTTAGGGCTTCCAGTACTATGTTGAATAGAAGTGGTAAGAGTATGCATCATTGCCTTGTTCCTGATCTTAGAGAAAGAGCTGTTAGTTTTTCATCATTGAGCAGGATGTTAGCTAGAGACTTTTCATATATGGCCTTTAAAATGTTGAAACCATTCCTTCTTTTCCTAGTTGAGTATTTTTATCATGGAAGGGTGTAAAATTGTGTCAGTTTCTTTTTTTGCATCTCTTGAGATAATCATGTGATTTTTATCCTTTGTTCAGTTAAAGTGGATTGGCACATTGATTAATTTTTGGTATGTTGAATCATCCTTGCATTCCAGGGATCAGTCCTACTTGATCATGCTGTGTGATCCTTTTAATGTGCTCTCGAATGTGGTTTGCTAGTAGTTTATTAAGGATTTTACATCTATATTCATAGGATAGTTTTGTTGCAGTGGCTTTTTCTGGCTTTGGTATCAGGGTAGTACTGGCCTCATAAAATGAGTTTAGAAGTATTCCCTCCTCTTCAGTTTTTGGGAAGAGTTTGGGAAGGATTGATGTTTTAATTCTCTAAATGTTTGGTAGATTTTACTTGTGAGGCTGTTCCTTCCAGGGCTTTTCTTTGTTGTGAGGTTTTTGATTACTGATTCAGTCTCCTCACTAATTATAGGTCTCTTCAGATTTTCTGTTTCTTCATGATTTAGTCTTGGTAGGTTGTAAGTTTCTGGGAAGGTATCCATTTCTTGTAGATTATCCAGTTTGCTTGCATATAATCATTCACGGTAGGCTCTTATAATCCTTTTTATTTCGGTGGCATTGTTGTGATGTCTGCTGTTTCATTTCTGAATATGTCTTCTCTTTTTTCCTTAATTTAACTGTAAAGGTTTGTCAATTTTGTTTATCTTTTAAAAAAAAACACCCGTTAGTTTCGTTGATGTCTTTCTGTTCTCCGTTTTGTTTATTTCTGCCCTAATCTTTATTATTTCCTTCCTTCTGCTAACTTTGGGCTGAGTTTGTTCTTCTTTTTCTGGCTCCTTGAAGTATAGTTAGGTTGTTTGTTTGACATCTTTCTTACTTTTTAACGTAGATGTTTGTTAGAACTATGAACTTCTCTCCTAGTGCTGCTCTTGCTGCATTCCATGAGTTTTGGTATGTTGTATTTATGTTGCGTTTATTTGTTTTTTTCTATTCTGTTATCTTTTCTTACTGATCTGTAGTAGCTCTTTTGCATAGATCCTTGTCTTTGTGTTTCAAGTGTTTTTCTCAGTTGTTGGCTTTTCAGCTTAATTATAAGTAGTTCTTTCATCGAGTAGTTTAGATTTTTGATGTTGCTAAACCTAATTGACTTTTCCCTTTATGTTTTCTGTTATACTTAAAAAGGCCCTCCCATCTCCCAAGATTATAAAATATATATATGTTATTTTGTGGTTGTATTTTTATATGTGTATCTTAACTCCATCTAGAATTAATGGAAAGGATGTGAAGTAGGGATTGAACTCTTTTAAAAAGCTGTGTTAAATGGCTGTACAGTTTTCTGTCATATGGAGAGAACTTTTACATGTTCCCTGTTCCCTTACTGTCACACTGTTAGGCTTCTGTAATTTTTTATTATAAATAAAGATGTACCGTATTTTTAGTTGCTGCTTTTAGGTAGATTCATAGAACAGAACTACACAGCCAGGAGGAGACTAAGAAAGCAAGGCAGTTACCAGCAGGGACTTGAAGGTGCACGGCCTGCATTAGTTTCTCAACTCCACACTCTTGGATCACTTGGCAGCCTTCTTCAAGTCACTTACTTCCTCATGTCTTCCTTGTGCCTTGGTTTTCTCATTTGAAAAATAAGGATAGTAATAGTACCTACCTTAGAGCATTGTGCTGAGTTTTAAATGTTTAATGCACATAAAACACTGCAATAGGGCCTGGGTAAGCAGTTATTATTAGTTGTTATTGCTGCTGCTGTTTTTATTGACATAGGCATTTTGAGGCAAGTGACTTTCAGAAAAGGTGCTGGTGTTTCAGTATTTTCCTATGGGAATCTAGGAGATCCCATTGCCCCAGTCCCTTCTTATCACTGAATGTTATCATTTTTTAAAGCTTGTCTAATTGAATGTATGAACAAACTTCTTTTTTGCTGGCCCAGGATGGAGCGGGGACTACAGGCTCTTCTGTTATCTTCCTGAACTTTAAATTGTTTTCTCTAAAAATGGCTTATATTGCCTTTTAGTTCCCTTTTATGGAGTTTTCCTTTAAAACTGGAAGTTCACCTGTTTTTCAGTATGTGATTGCCACCCCGCCGCCCCCCCCCCCCCCCACACCCCCACACACACCAAATTCATTACTTAGCCCATAGTAACTCTCCGAAGTTCATTCCTTTGGCTTCTTTGTCAGGTACAGACGTTCATTTGAGCCCCTTCTGTCTGCCAGGCCCTGTGCCAGGGGCACAGGCCTCTCAGAGGAGTAAGTTAGCGTCTGTATGAGAGAGACTCAGCCTGGGAGAGTTGGAATGTGTGCACCACAGTGCCATCCGCATGTGGAGCGGGGTGGGAGCGGGGTGGGAGAAGCCCAGGAGAAGCTCTCAGATTGTCAGTGGGGTTGATTTGTAAACATAATGCAACTATTCTGCCTGAGGAGACTTGCTCTGTAGAATCCCAAACTTGAAGGAAGTTTTTTTTTTTTTAACTTTATGAAATAATTCATCATAGCATTTTTTAAAAAATTTGTTCTTTCTATACATTTAAAATATGTAGTTTGAAAAAAGAAAACTGCAAAACCTTTCTGAAGTGTTGACTCCGGGCCGCTTCCTTGACCTCCTCAGCTCTCAGGTGAGGCGTTGTCCCTCTCGGCTCTCCTGCTCTGGCTTCCTGAGCTCTGCTGCGCGAAGGGGTGTCAGCAACCGTTATGGACGGTCAGGTGGTTGGTAGCTAACGCGGTGAATAAGCTGTGCTGCCGACTCTAATACTGCAGAGAAAAGGAGCTGGAACTTTCCTGTGGGGCACTCCTCTCTTGGGCATAGAGGTGTCCTCATCCCCAGGAGTGCATTGGAGTTTTTCTTCCTCCTTTTTGTGGGAACACCCCTTTTCTGGGCAGTCTTTTTGATTATGGCATGAAAGTGTGATTATATGCCTAGATGGAAAAGAAGGACTGCAACCCTCTCTCCCTTCCTCCGCCCTTCCCCCTTTCTGCTGCTTAATCAGAAAAGGGGTCCCTTGGCTCTTTTTCCAAGCCACCGAGTTTGAATTGACCTTTGTTGCCAGTAAGAACGTGGGGAAGCGCTTTCTGGTTCCTGCTAAAGTTACCTGACCACGGAAGGTGTGCATCTGATAATTATAACGCTAGTGCTTCTGAGGCCTGAGCCATCAAGCTAAGAGCAGTAATCCTGATCTTATCAGTAGGGTTTTGTAGTCCAACAGTGTTGCTTCTAACAGTATCTGTTTTACTTCCTGGGGCTCCCCTCTCCTTTCAGGATTCTCCTGTAATCCTGCCCATTACCCCTTTGTGCATGTCTCATTACCTCTTGGGATCAGTTAAAACTGGTGGGAGGGCAGAGGTGTTTTTTCTTTTCTTCCTCTGGAGATCTGGGAATTGGACATTTAACATCACAACATTATCCACTTGTCCAGTAGTAGATAGTCACAAGTGTTAGGCGTAATAACTACAGAGACACAGGCATAGCAAAGAAAAGGTAGTTCATGTGTTGCTTATTTAAAAAAAAAGAACAGTACTAACAGCAGTATTCAGCTGGAATACTTTTGTTACACTTTATATTTCAAAGTTACTAACTGATATCCTTGAGCTTGGGATCAGCCCTTTGAAGTCTACCCATGGAGCTGACTGTGAGGATCAGGTCCCAGGAATTTGCCCAGATCTGAAGGTAGGTGGGATTCAGAATCTATTAGGTATAGAGTAGACAGAAAGGAAACATATTACTGTTGTGTTGCTTTCAGAGAACACTCAAGAATCTCTGTAAAGCTGTAGTGTGTGTGATGGCGTTCTAAGGACAGCTTCTTAGAGGTTTCAGAATATGGGGAGCTTAAATGAAGAGCTAGTAACTTAGCCTCTGTGCTTTAAACCTGAAGGAAAGGGTTAACTCTTGCCTTGGGGAAGAGTGAGGAATGGGAACTAAAATTGCTTTGGACATCTGAGCTGTGCTTTAATAAGATATTCCAGGTGGTCAAGGAGTAATCCTAAAATAGCCTAGATACTTAATTGCTTTTAAAGTCAGGCGCTCCTGTCTCTGGGGAGGCACGGCTCTGAGGAATGCAGTGCTGGCTCCTAAGGTCTTAGAGGCGTGGTCTGGTTGGGCTCCCCCCCCCCCCCTTCTTCTTCCACATCCCCAGCGAAGAAGCCCAAGGTACCTTTCTTGGATCCGGAGACACTGGTTAAATGTCTCTCTTCTCACTGGAAGTTTGGCAATAAGCCTTTGGCTCCTGCTGCTGCCAGCTGCTATATCCTGGCTTCCTCCAGGGCTGTTGGATTGTTCTTGTCACCTGTAACACACCCCCAGAGACAGTGGACTGTTTTCATTAGTGCTCCAAGGCGTCCTGCTTGATCCCCCTGCCCAGCGTCTCTCCGTTTTCATTGGAACTGACTTTTCTCACATTAAGATTCAGATTCATCCTTCTCGTCCTTTTTCATCCCCTCCGTCCAGCCCTAGTTGATTCTCTGACTGGGCTGCTCTCAGGACAGTCATTTCTCCCTGGTTCTGCTGCTCTCCCCACCCCCAACCCAGACTCCCAGTGTGGCCAGCCCCAGCGCCGGCTTTCCCTCTCAGATTTTCACTGCTGTTTATGAAAGTAATGTGTTGACCTTGTGAGTCATTACCGAGAAACACTAAAAATACGTTTTATTATAAGTGAAGAGTCATGTTGCTGTCTTACCTGAAACACTAAATATTATGATTGTATCAGTTCATTAAATTATTCAATAATTTTAGTGCAATCTGAATTTTCTTTGTTGCGGGGATGGGTGGGGAGGAGAAGCAAGTGTTGGGTCATGACAGGTGATTCAGATGTTAATCTAGAGAAAATACACAGTTTTTAAAATCATCTCTCTCTCCCTCTCTCTCCATTAGACTCTAACCTCCAAGAAGTCAGAGGTTCTTATCTGTCTTGTTCTCTTCCCCTCAGAACCTTTCACAGTATCTCATATATCCTGGTGATCCAGTGTTCGTATGTGAATGAATATAATGAAAAAATTGGAAAGTCAAAATCTCCCATAATTTCAGTCCGATTAGATGCCAACAGACATTTGTATGTGTATATCATGCATTTTCCACAAAAATGGATCATTAAAATCAGCTAAAGCACTGATTTAATCATCTATTTTTCTGTTCAGAAAACATCCACGGCCTCCCAGCTCTTCACATTTCGGAGCTTAAATTTCCTCCTGGTATTCAAGGCATCTCACAGCCTCTTTCCACCTTAACTATTCAGACTTGCATCCTCCCTGCCAAAACATGCCTTGTTTATCCCCCACTCCATGCTCATTGAGATTGCAAACCTCTCAGCCCTTTCTTCCAGGCCAGCTTCATCTCCACCTCTGAACCCCCTCCTTCCTTCCAGCTCCCTGGCACTTCGTGTTTTGGTACTTCGGCTTGCTCTGTCTGTTAAATGCTGCATGTGTTTAGCTTGTTTTTCCAGCTCTGTGGTAGAGGACCGCTGTGGGAACCTCTCTGGGGGAAGTGGTGGTTCTCCTCAGCAGCCTGCACAGCTCTCTTAAGTGGGGCAGGTGCTCAGGAAAGCAGCGCTGAGTGAACGTCGTAGGCTCTTTGCTTCTCTTAGCGGCCCCACCTCACGTTGGATTCCCTACCATGACATACCAGACCGACAGTCCTCTGGGGACAGGAAGCAGCCCACGTCCTGAGAAGGCCCACTCCATTACTGGGCCGTTCTGATTGTTGGAAAAGTCTTTCTTGTAATCAACCTGAAATCTTCTGCTCGGTGACTCTAGTTCTGCCCTCTGGGGCTTTGGAGGGAAAAGGGGGAAAAAAAGACAAGCCCACTTCCTCTTCCACAAGGCAGCCTTTTCAATTTTCAAGGATGATGAATATATTTCCCCTTCCAGGGTTGAGGTGTTGACGAGGCACTATTTAAATTTTGAGTGGCAGTTAGACTAGACTCTGATTGGTTATTTTTTTCAAGGCCTTTTACGAGCAGGTTGGGAGTGCTAGGTGCCATGTTCTTTCAGTCCCCTCAGTGCAGTCACCTGCTTGTCTCTCTCCCCACCTCCCTCTCTCGGGAGGAAAGTGGGTGGCTCCTCTTAGCCAGAATGTTCTGTTTGAAAGGTAGTGGTAAAAGGTGAGCTGTTCTTAATCTAGTACCCTCAGTAGTCCCAGATAAGTCTCTTGGGCAAGTGCTGTGTGAGGGCTGGTTTTTTGTTTGGCTGCACCTGCCAGATGAAACCAATGAGAAGAATTTGGGAGTAAAAGAATCTCCCGTTGATAGAGCCGCCCAGGGCCAAGCAAGACCTGGCATTTGTAGGCTTTCTGCATACAGAGAACATTATTCTTCATTTCCTCCCTCCATCCCTCCCTGAAGTCCCGCCCAGAACACTTTTGACTGTTCTTTGCACCCACGAGGCAGTGTGGTGGTGTACCAGACAGGCAGACCTGGGCTTCAATGCTGATGCTGCCACTGAGAAGCTCTGAGACTGCAGGCAAAGTAACTAACTTGCTCTGTGAGCCATTGTTTTCCCATCTCCAAATCACCCCCTCTCCATTGTGGAATTAAGGGAGAAATCGCTTGGTTAGCTCTGGGTCCAGCCCCGGTTACACAGAAGATGTGCGGACACTAGCTTCCTGCTCTGCTTTCTTCTTTCTCCAGCTTTCTTTCACAACCAATTTTGAGAGATTTATAGGCAAAACACTCTGTGGCCTCCTTGGGGGAAATGAGCTGAATGTGGGTCTGGTAGGGAAAGCTAGCCCTAGGTGGGTATTTGGGAACAAACTGTCAGTTTCCTGTGAGCTCCTGGTGAGATCAAAGCCGGTAAAGTGAGCCCTCAAGTAGGGGAGGCTGAGAAGGTCGTAAATGGCAGCGAGCGGCCACTCTGGCTACTGTTGCTTCCGCACATTTCTGAGCTGTTGAATCCTGACTGCCTGCTGCCCACAGGGAACAAAGCCTCTTCCCCGGCTGCTCAACTGCATGTGGCGACCCTTCAACTGAAATGGTTTACTTGGGGACCCCTCTTGATCTTTATTGAGCTGACTCTTCGGGGGTATATTCTCTCCACATTTGCTTCTACCGTTCCCTGTGTTCCTCCACCTAACTAGCTGCTGTCAGCCACATTCTACACTCAAGAAATTCAGTCATTTCCGAGCTGAAAATTTCCCAGCAGCCACACCCGTGCCCTGTTGATAGGTAGAAACCTCCTGTACGTAAACTTGAAGTGCACAGCGAGCTGTGTTTTGCAGCCATTGAGCAGAGTTAAGAACCAAGAACATGACTTCTGAAGCCTGTAATCCTCCTAATGAAAGGAGGAGGGGAAGACAGGAGCTGTGGGGTTGGAGCTTCCGTGGAGGAGCCCCTCCTTGTCTCTCAGCAGATGATTCACGGCTTTTTATGTGCTGGGGGCCAGGGATACCCTGACAGGATGCTTACAGACTGGGCACAGGCAGGGGCGAAATAACCAGAACACGAGGCGACACTGCCCAGAGGAGAATGACTGTGGGCAGAGGCTTCCCAGAGGAAACAGCCAGACCGTGAAGGACAGACAGGGTTTCGGAAGTACCCTCACCTCAGCCAGAAAATCCTGTGAATCAAGGTGGAAGTTTAACTGTCTCAAGACAGAGAGAGTGGATGTGTCCCCATCAGCCCCAACTGAATATTTTCAATTATATAATGGTCAAATTTTGTCTTGGACAAAATAAAACACCTCCACTCCCGGGCAGCTCTTTTCCTGTTTTTCCTTTAAACACTAATGGACATTCCTATCTGAGGAATGGGTCAAACAGGGGGATTGCTCATAAGAATGTAGTATCCTGTTTCTGCCTGGTTCTGACAAGCCTCCTTGTCCTCTCTGGTCACCATCCTGGTGCATTTCAGGGTAAAATCACAGCTCAAAGCAGATTTTGAACCTGAGTGGTTTTTGGTGGGCCATGACTAATCCACAGTCTGACTGTCCCGGTGCTTGGACTGTCCTGTGACTCAGGCATAGCTGGTGAAAACCAGCAGTCACGACGTCTCCATCCTGCAAGGCCTTCTCCTCTGTTCCCAGAGCCAAACCCTCACACTCAGGTGTTTATTTTCACACATAGTCACACCGCTGGTGGCACTGGCACTGGCATGCTTGTTTTTACACTCCCTTCCTGCTGCGGAAAGCCCTGTCTGAGATTCTAGGCTGTGGATTCCTTCCTCTCCACCCAGCTGAGTGTTAAATAGCTTCTGAGTGAGCATTCAGAGCGCCTCGAGGTTACTGTGATTAGCAAAAAAAGAAACTGTTTTTCCCTCTCTCTCGGTGACTGATAGAGAAAGAATCCTCCTGTGAGCAGAATCAGCTTCAGATCTCTAGCTAGAGAGTTGGGAATTGAGCTGCCACGGTAAACAGCTGACATAACAGAAGCTGCGGTGATCCCCCATTAAATGTCTTTCAGCTGATAGGGGCTCCCGGGATAATTGACTTTCCAGCAGGAATTACTGGCTCAAACGAAATCACTGGGCATTAGGGTGACCTGCTGCAGCCTTTGAAAGGGGGCCGTAACTCTGTCTGGCTTTGCTGACCAGACAGGCATAATTCATCTTGATTATTCATTGTGCTAGTTGCCACCAGATGACACCAGGTTTCTGTTGACTGTAATTACAGCCTGGATTTTAGCTTTTTTTTTTTTTTTTGAAACAGTGTTCCACTTGGTTGTTGGCCTCCCTGAGCTGAAGGTGCTGTAGGAAGGTTTCTACAGTGTCTGCCTGGGGAGATGATGTGAGCACAGCCAGATAGCATTTCCTGAGCACTTCCTTACGCACGTCTTGCAGTAGATAAGCAGGGAAACAATTTGATGGAGCCTGTTTCATGTCAGCTGACAGGGTGTCACTTCTTCTTGGTTATCCTTAACCTGGTGTGTGGTAAATTGCTGTTCTCACAAAGTGGGCCTACAGCTCAGCCCACTCCCCAGCCCCAGATGCCCTCCCCAGCCAGCTGGGTGGCACGTTGCGCTTGTGCATGTGGGCGCCTTGGCCCTGGAGGAGAGAAGAGAGAGGATGGTCTCTGTGTCCAGTGCCATCCCTGGCTCCTTCATTGACAGGTGGGACGAGGTGAACAGGCGACTTCTGCTCTGACATTTCACCCACTCCACTGGCAGAGGGCCTTTTGGACGCTCCTATGTGGTATCCGTGTCTGTATATTTTTTTTTTGAAGAGGTGCTTAATTGGTTCAAATAATTAGCTAATGCCTTTTAACAATGATTATAGTTGATCACATATTCACTGGAGCCTTAAAATTGCCAGGCAGTGTGCTGTGTGCTACAGGTACAGAGATGAAGAAGACACTTTGCTTTCAAGGAGCTTACAGTATGTGGGGATGACAAATAATTCCAAAATAATATGTCAGGTTCTAAGCTCAAGATGAACAGAGAGTGCGTCCAGAGAACTTGTGCATCCGGGTATGAAGGGAAGGCTCCCTCTAGAAGATGATGACTGATTTGAAAAAAAGAGTTACTCAACTGAATAAAAGCGGGAAGCAGATTTCAAGAACATAAACAAAAGCATATTTGCCATTTCCTCCCAATCAGTTGAATGGTGTTGGTTTGACCTAATCAATTAAATTAGGATTAGGTTTTCGTTACTTCTTTAATGAAAATGAACTTCACCCTAATGGAACAGTCTCTCTGTATCTTGGGAGTAATCTCAGGCCCTGGGGGCCCTCATATCACTAGGCAGTTCTGATCACTAGAGTTAGGGCTTCTGGTGGTGAGGCTTGGCTGAGTGACCACAAGATCTTCAAGATCTTCATCTTGCTCCCTTTGACCCCTTATCTTCCACTGAAGTGTTGTGCGCGAGGCCAGGCTAGGTATCTTCACAACATACCGTATAATTTACAGGCACACCATAAAACATACAAACATATGTCACACTGAACCTACAGAAAAATGGTTCACCTCAGAGCTATGGCTTCCAGAACATCAACTAGGGATGAACCAGTTCTCAAAACTAGGCCTTTGTGTCCCCTCTTCCAGGGTTATCAGGTATAAGTAACACCCACTCCCCTCCAGCAGATGAAGATGATTCTTCCACCTGACTCCCTCTGGTTTTGGAACCATAGTTGAAAGCAAAAAACCAAGATGTCCCTTTTAGGGGGGCAGAGGCGGTTACTCAAGCAGTCAGTCTTTCAGTGTGAGCCAGGAGAGCACAGTTGCTCAGGGTCCCCCTCTACACCCTAAAAGACTGCCTTGCCCCCTCACTCCCTGCCTACTGCCTTCTGACCTCTTGCTTTGTTCCCCTTTAGAATGGTGGTTTGACCTGGAATGATGATGCAGATGGAGGCCGGGGAAGAGAGATCTCTCGTGATTTTGCCAAGGTCTGTAATGTTTCCTTTGTGATAACAGAAGGGGCTGTTCTGCAGTGGGTTATTGTATCTGCTTTCCAAGGAATGAGGATAGAAGTGGCCTGTGAGTCACATCTGTAGTCATTCAGATGGTTATGTATTGCTATTGTAAGACTTCCTACATAAGATGGAATTTATTTTCACTGTGGTGTTTTTGTTTTTTTCTTTTTTCTGGTGGGTTTGGGATTGCAGCTGTATGAACTGGACAGTGACCCGGAGAGGAAAGAGTTCCTGGATGACCTCTTCGTCTTTATGCAGAAGAGGGGTGAGTGTGCACCCTACTCATCATTTCAATTCACTGAATATTTATTGAGTGCCTACTGTGTGCACGTCACTCTTAGCCATCCTCCCTGTGGAGTGCCAGCATCTTAGCCCAGGAGGACAAGAGCCATTTATTGCCAGTTGGTCCCATACTTAGCTGAATAATTGGCAGTCAAGTTGAAGAGGGCAGAGAGGGCCTGGTTAGAAAATGAATGGAATGATCATCCAAATTTGGTCCTGCTTTATTCTTTTCACTGTTCTGATTAACTGGTCTCTGGAGTCATTTCAAATTCAAATACACTTCTTTTTCTTAGCCTTATAGTAAGTAGTCCTGGACATCACTTAAAACTCGTATATGGGGCTTCCTGCTGGTGCATCTGGCTTAATAGAGACTTAGAATGGCCAGTGAAAAAATGGAGTCTCTCCAGGATGTGTTGGGAGGATTCTGAAATGATCCAAAAGAAGGAAAAGCTAACTCTTTTTTCCTTATCCATTGGCTCTTTTTGATTTTTGCATCCACTGGCTTGGTTGGGGTGCTCCTGCAGTTTAACTGTAGGGCACATGGACATCCACTTTACAGTGCCTTAGCACTTCTGGTCTTTCTCCCCTTCTCATTCTCCTCCACCCACCCACCCCCAACCATCTCCACTTGGGACCATGGCATGTCTCAGTCTTGAGCCCACAGTGACTCAACTTCCTGGCTTTGTATTCTGTCACAGCAATGGGTTCACCAGCTGGCAGCCCTCAGGAAGCATGGTCAGAACCCCAGCCTCTCTAGGAGATAATTCTCAGCAACCTGGGTAGCGGCATCTTCTTCATCCTCAGGACAAAGCCTTAGGGGAGCTGCTCCTGCCGGCATGTTCCCTGGGACCCTGCCTGATCATGTAGCCCTTGGTTTCTGTGTCAGCTCCTTTACTGAGACCTGGGAATGAAGTCCTCCTCTTTATTGTAGGTGGGGCTGTAATGACGGCCTCCAGCAATGAAAGATCCTGATTTAACTCCTCTTCTTCCCTCTCTCCTGCTCCCTCTCCCCACCAACCTCATCCCTCTTTCTCTCCCCCTCCTTCCAAAGCCTCATTGCCTTCTTAGTAGTATGCCTATTACCGCTGGTTTGCTTACAAAGGCAATCGAAAGTTTTGAGTCTGGTTTTCCCCTCATCCAAGCCTATCAAAGCAGTCTAAGCAGCTCTAATTAGTTTACTCCTCCAACTGTTATCTAGAGCTGCATGTGTCAGTAAAAAACAAGAATATAATCCTGAAAGATAATGTGACTGGCAGCAATGAAACTCCCTGGTTACCCTGAGAGAGAGAAATCCACTTAATACTTTGGTCTCCCCTTCCAATTACCTTTTAATTATTTACAAGCTCCGCAAGCCCAGCTGGTGCAAACCCAGGAGCTGATCTCGTCTCAGAGGGGCTGCTATAGCAATATAGATTTTAATCAGCAGTGTGCTTCCACTGCTTTAGATTCTGCTTTATTGTTTTTCTCCCTTCCCAGAAGGATTTTTAAAGGAAAATGGAAGTTATATCAGCCTAGCCAAGAGTGAAGAGCCGTAATTGTTTGTTTACTACTCTGTGTCCCCAGTAGACGAGGATCTCCTTGAGGACAGCCACTTTGTCATTTCTGTGTGTCCCCAGTGCCAGCACAGGGCCAGACCTGGGGGCAGGGATTGGGAGGAGCCCTGCCCAGGACACATTTTCTGTTGGTACAGTCCTGTTGGTTTTCCTAGCTCAGCTGCCCCAGTGGTGGTGGTGGTGGGGAGCCGCCCCTCCCCCACCCCACCCCCAATTAGCTGCCTGTGATTGGAGGTCAGCAGTACAGAGGGATGTATGCTGAGTGTCCTGCTATTGCACAGCGCTGGGGCTGCCAGACTGCCATCTAGTCTATTCCAGAGTGAACCCAAAGCAAAAGTGACTCTCTTTGATCCTGTCTATTTACGGTTATTCAGGCCCTGAGTAAATCTTTTTTCTTTCTTCAGCACTTATGTTCGGTATTTCACTATTTGCTGGTATCAACAATAGAAGGGAAACAGTTGAGTCAGTTTAGCTACTTGTTAATTACTCTAGTATAAGGTTTCTCAGCCTCAGCATATTGATTTTGGGGACTAGATAGTCCTTTGTCGGGGGGAGGGGAGGGGCTCCTCCCCAGTCTTGATAACCAAAAATGTCTGCAGATATTATAAATGTCCCCTGGGGGACAAAAGTGTTCCCCTGTTTAGAACCACTGTCATAGAAGGGTAGGAAAAAAGTTGAAGATCAAAAATTTTCTCTGCAGAGAAACTCTTCAGGGAAGTCATCTTAGCTCCATTCAGAGAGCAATACCTGAGGGTGGCAGGGCCTGTCTGGCAATGGGAGGAACTTCCCGCCTATAGCTGAGGGCCAGACGAGTGGGTGCTGGTCCCCATCCAAGGCTGGGGTGTAGAGACCTGAGAGTTGCCGTAGCCCCAGCAGGGGAAGAGTAGAGGCAGAAATGCAGAGGTGTATATGTGGTCCAGACATGGCTGGAAGAACCCTTGTCTGGCCTAGATGAATCAGGTGGCATCAGATTGTGAAGAGCTGCGTTTAGCCCAAAAGGTAACACTCCAGTCTGTGACATAGCCGAGTTACTGAAGGGAACACCCGGGGAGTGTCACCAGAGCTGGGCTTTCAGGAAGCTCGCTGTGGCAGTCAGCATGTAGTTGGGCTGAGAGGGAAGACTGAGGCAAGGAGACTGTGGAGGTTAGGTTGTTCCTTTTAAAATCAGTGATCTCCTCCCTGGAAGACTCTTGTCTGATGACCTAAATTTAGAATGAGTGGTTCAAGGGGACTGGGAGCAGTTTGCGCTTCTAACCACATGAAGCTTGCTGTCTTTCCTCTTTACAGAATGGTGAGACCTAGGGCCCCTAGATATTTATGACTTATTTGTCATTCCCAAATTGGAGTCTGGGGCACTCAGGAGCCCACTCGTGTTAGCTGGCTGGGTGCAAGGAAGAGCCTCATAGACCTTGGCAGTGGGTCAGCAGCTCATCCTCCAGAGCTAAGATAAAGGATAAGCAATTGATTTTAAAGGAGCCCCGGGAAGCAGCCAGAGTCTGAAAGGCCCAGTGATGCCCACCTGGGCCGTGAGTGGGCTGGACAGCTTTGACACAGAAGCTACACCACAGAGGAAGTGGCCCGGGCTCCAGGGGAGGTGGCACCCAGCCCGTGGCCTCGAATGACTGCAGCTGCAGGTGATAAAACAGCTGTGCAGTGGGAGAGGGGCCTGGCCATAACCGCTGCTTTGTGCTGGGTCTCTCCGGTTTGTTAACATGTTTGGGTGAATTGACTGCAGCAGATGGGCCTTTCAGCTTGAGGCACCTTGGTTTCTAGGCCAGACTGGGTGACTTGCACCCTCGTGATCCCTTCCCCCCCGCCCCCAGCAGAGAAACCTACCCCAGAAGGCACTTGAGAAGAGGCTGAGGCAGTGACCAGTCAGGCACCTGTGTCCTGCCTGCCTCGGAACAGTTGCTGCAGCCTGTGGGGAGGCACAGGGACTGAGGCACGTGAAGTTGGGGCTAGCATCCATCCTGAGCAAATCCTTCCTCTTCCGGGGCCACAGTTTTCTTATCTCTAAGAAGAAAAGGTTTTGGTTAGAGTCAATCTGGAAGTCTTTTCCAAGTTCTCTGTTGTGTATTATGTGTCCGTGGTTGTGTCTGTTGAGCTGTGAGCAAACCTTGAGCCACCCTCAATAACCAAAACAGAAGAAAAGCCCCTCAAGCAGTTTTCTATTAAAACAGTTGTGTAAAAACTACACCAAGGAGCCCCACCCCCACTCCCCCTCCAGCCAAACCAAATGCTTCATTCCCTTCCTTGCAGAATCATGTGTTTCTTCTTTTGCTGAGTGAAGCCAAACTGAACTAAACAAGTTTCTTTTGCTTGTGCTTCCCACACAGACATTTCTATAGAAAGATGGGTTAGATTTCAGAACTCTGATGCCCCCTTTTCCTCACCTTTTGCCACATGTACGTGCAGGTGTGGGTATGTGTGTAAAACACATGCATACACCTTTTTTTGTCAAAAAAGGCAAACATTTGTAAACAAAATTCCTTGACTAATTTAATTCACTGTAGGTGATTTCTGAGGTGTTATTTATTCCCTGGTAGATTTTCCAGGGGGTCCTATGGGCGAGGGGGGCAGGTGCTGATTTGGAAGTCTCATAAGCAAAGGCTTAAGAACATTCTTCCCTCATCAGTGAAGAAGAAGAGCCTCTTGTCTTGTTCCCCAGGCAGCGAAGCAGAAGTATGATTTCATCAAAGAGGAGGAAGATGATTTTGCTGTTAATTTTATTATTGTTACTATGTGTACTTTACAGAACCCTTTCAACCCATTATCTGATCTGCTGTTCCGCATAGCTCCACCTCTGTGGGATAGAGAGAGCAAAGGTTATCACAGGAGCCAGCCCCCAAGTTAGATGGCTCCCCTGAGGCCACAGAGCTGCTTTAGCACATGGTTTCCTCATCCCCAGGCCGGGATTCTTTCTCTCACCCACACTGCCCTGGAGAAACTTGGCCCCTAGCACCAGCAGCCCCATCACTTTCCATTGGCCCCTAGCACCAGCAGCTCCATCACTTTCCACTGGGGCAATGAGCAAGCCTCTGCTGTCCTTCAGCCTTCTAAGCCCCGCAGGGACTGTGGCCCACCTGCAGAGGTCAGGGCCCGGGAGGGTCTGACAGCATCTAGCTAATAAACATGGGGCACAGGTCTTCATGCAAGAAGAGTGTTCGTCTCAGGGTAAAACAGCCTGTCTTTCAGGGAAGGGCAGGTGTGACGGGTCACAGTGGCACAGAGGCTGCCATCTGTCAAGGCAGGATTAGGGGGGCTGGGAAAAGCCCTAACAGTAGCATCATGGGCCCCCTAACCAAGCGCCCACAAGCGAGGATCTCTCCTCCAGCCCCTGTCCCAGCTCGCCACAGCAGACAGAAGACCTGCTTGGTCACATGGAAGACAAGTTTTGTCAGGACTTCACCGGAGAACTGCCATCCCTCCCCCACCAGTTCTGTTCAAGGCTGCACACTGACCTTGGTTTTCCCAAATGGATTGTTGGATCTGTTTTTGATGTGTATATACAAAGAATTTACTGTGGGAAAAGGGCTTGGTCTGCCTCAAAGTGCAATTTGAGTGTTTTTCCTTCTGTTGTGTGCTTATCTATCCATCTCAGGCAAGGAAATGTTCATGACATATATTGCTTTGCCTCTTGGTGGAGGGAGTTCCTCGTATATTCTTTGTACCTTGCATTAAATGGTCTGTGCCATGGACACTCTTCCTGATAGACTAAAATATGTTTGTCTTTGTCAGATAAAATAGGCTCTGGGGTTTCATTTTCCAACTTTATCCCCAAATCAAAGTCCAAAATACAAATCTTTGTCTCAGGATTAATCCTTTGTTTCAGGCCAGGTCTTTTTCTCTCCCCAGATGGTAGCTGATGTTCTAGTGCTAGGGTTCCCTTCCCACTGTTTTTTTTTTTTTTTCTCTCTCCCGGATCTTCATAGCTGTGCGTGGGCTTTCTCTAGTTGTGGCAAGCAGGGGCTGCTCTGTAATTGCAATGCGCTGGCTGCTTATTACAATGGTTTCTCTTGTTGCAGAGCACATGCTTTGGGGCATACAGGCTTCAGTAGTTGAGGCTCTCAGGTTCTAGAGCAGCAGCATTAGTCGTGGCACATGGCGTAGCTGCCCCAAGGCATGTGGAATCTTCCTGGACCAGGGATTGAACCTGTGTCCCCTCGTTGTAATGTAGATTCTTAACCACTGGACCACCAGGGAAGCCCCATGTCCCCACTTCTAAATACCTTATTACTAACCAGTTATCTATGATAATGGGAAGAGATCCCTGGTTTTTGAAAGGCATGATTAATTTGAATAGCTCATTATTGTTTTTAAATTCAGCCTCTTCCCCTTCAAAATCACTTATTGGTACTTTTAGCACTTGGTAAAATTGGGTTGAGGGCTTCCCTGATAACTCAGTTGGTGAAGAATCTGCCTGCAATGCAGGAGACCGCGGTTCAATTCCTGGGTCAGAAGGATCCACTAGAGAAGGGATAGGCTACCCACTTCAGTGTTCTTGGGCTTCCCTTGTGGCTCAGCTGGTAAAGAATCTGCCTGCAATGTGGGAAATCTGGGTTCAAGCCCTGGGTTGGGAAGATCCCCTGGAGAAGGGAAAGGCTGCCCACTAGCCTGGAGAATTCCATGGACTGATGGTTTGGCCTCCTTTGTTCCAAAGTGAGCCAGTATTCGGCAGACCGTCCAAGGATTGGTGTAGGGAAAGTCTGAAGCGAGAGGTTGACCCGCTTACACTGTGGGAACTCTCCTAGGTCTTGAGAAGCTAGAGGCACAGATGGGCAATTGAAGCTCAGACAGCCATGCATGCTCAGGGAGAATGGCCTTGAGTTGTTGGGCCTCTCCCCAGTCACCCCTCCACCCTTCTCTTGGACTCTCAGGCCGGTCTGTTAATCAGCAGCAGGCAAAGTAAAGAAGACCTGACGGTCCACCTCCTTCTAACTCCTTCGTTTTCTTCTCTGAGAGTAGTTTTTATGGGAGGAAACAGCACCACCATAGCCCTAATTTTATTGTCGGCCATAATAGAGTACAAGACTGCATGTGCTATTAAACTTCACCTAAAGCAGTTGGTCTGAGCAAGAGTATCAAGAAGGGTAATGGGTCTGAAATTAGCCTCTCAGGTTGTGGTGCCTGCAGAACTCCATTCATTGCTGGTGGGACTATAAATGGGCATCACTACTGGAAATCTGTTCAGTGGTGTTTACTAAAGCTAAAGCTAAATGAATGCCAACCCTATTACCCAGCAGTTAAACCTCCAGGTGTATCCCCAGTGGAAATGAAAGCTCTGGTTCACTGAAAGACACACGCAAGAGTATTCATAGCAACACCATTCATTATAGGCAAAAACGGGAAAGAACTGAAATGTCTATCAGTAGTAAAATGGACAACTAAGTGGTGGCATAGTCCTCTAGTGGGATAAATACCACACAGCAATAACAAAGAATGAATTACTGTTGTACACAGCTGGATGGCTCTCACAGGCCTAATGTGTAACACAGGAAGCCGTTCCCAGAAAACTATGTATACTGCATTCTTTGGTTTGTGTAAAGTTCAAGAAAATCACCTATAGTGATACAGGATAATGATTACCTCTGAGTGGGGTGGGGAGTGGGTATTGATTGGGAAGGATAATGGAGGAGTTTTCTGGAGTGCTGGAAATGTTCTGTATTTTGCTATGAGCAATGGTTAGTGGGGTGTACACAGCAGAAAAGATCTGGTGGGCTGTATCCTTAAGATTACTCATCTAGGTTCTAGGCCCTAGGCCTTGTGTCAGGCAGGCCTCCTCAGTGAGAGGTCGTGGTAGAGGGCTGAAGGGTACGTGTAGGACCAGTCCAGTATCTGGATATCTGCGCATCCTTGCTCCGCCCTGACTGGTAGAACAGTCAGCTCCACACTGCATGGCACACCACCACACCCTGCTGCCTCGTTTCCCAGTGGGAAATATTTTCTACATTAGCAAGTCAGGGGGAGAACACCACCAGTGATTCCCCTACTTGTTCTTGGGGAGCAAGACTAGAGCTGGGCAGGAATTAATATGCAGAAGAGTAAGCAGGAGGCTTGCCTGCCCCTCTGCGTTCCCGCTTAACTGGGGACTTAACTCTTCCAGGCTCCCAGCTCTCTTGACATGCTGTGGAAATGATTAATGATCTTGTTCAAAGTCAGGAAAAGCAGCGAGGGTCCTGGGCAGGGCCATGCCCTGGGTCCTGGGCTCTCACCTCTGACCAGTAGGCAGGAAGGCAGCCATGCGCCTTCTGTCCTGGGGCAGCTCTGTCCTGGGTCCCTGCCCCCGATTACTTCTGGTCATCCCTGGAATGTGCCCACTCTGTGGTGGGGAGGAAGTGGTCCTCCCCTAACATGCCCACCATGCTCAAGGAGACCATCTCCCCACTCTGCTCTCATCCCTTCTCTGCTGTGTCTCCACAGGCTCAGCAGGAAGGCGAGCTAAGGATCGGAGCAGGTTTTGTTTGGCTCCGTCTGCGCTGAGGGCTGAGGGCTCCGGAGAGCAGTGCCCGTGCCCAGCAGCATTGCCACCTCCAAGGGTTAAAGCCCCCGGAGCCCCCAGCAGCTTCCCTGGGTCCCAGCCTCATAAAAGCCTTTTCCGCATCTCCCTTGGGCTGCGTCAGGCTCCCTGGCTGAAATCTGATAAGGGGCCTCTTTGTTGGAACTGTCAGTCTCCTTTATTGAGGAGGGAACTGGAGACCAGCGGCATTTCTTGGGGTACAGATAAGGCTCTGGATTGCTGTCAGAGGGACCATGATTAATTACCCTCAATCCAAGCTCCTGCTTTGATAGCAGTGACTGACAGCCCACAGGGTTTCCCGCAACATGCTCCCGCCCTCTCTGGGAGGTGTAATGTGGGGTGCGGGGATTCGGCCCCCTGCAGGGCCAATGCTGGTCACCACTGCAGCAGTGGCTGCTGGCCTCCTTCCTGGCTCTCTGCAGGTTGCTTTGGCTTTTATTGCGGACTGAGGCCTGCTGTCTCTCAGGTGACGAGGCTCTTTAGAGTACGATGTAAT